CCTGCTCCCTGCTGATGCTTTTTTTCAAGCACACCTCTGTCTACATGGCCATCTGGGGAGAAATGCTGACATAGCCTCGGAGCTGCCCGTGCATTTCGGCTCCACACGCACACCCCCGGGGGGTGCGGGACATGTCCCACTGGCCCTACTTTAAAGCCTTTAGTTGTCTCTGCAGCAGCTGTGTCACCAAATGCTGCTCTTCCCTGAGGCCATGGAAAGACCTCCTCCCTCGAAAGTCTGTCTAGTAACTCTTTTGCTGCATGTGGTTCGGATTCGGTTTGGGTCGTCTTGACAGATTCTGGTTCAGGAATAACACCACCACTTTACCTCGGATGGCTCTGTGTTCGCCAGGCCGAACTGTTTCCTGCCCAAGTGTCTTCGAGAGTTACGATTGGGTGGAAAACGAGCCACCTTCCCTCCCCAGCCCCGCCCCCACAGCGGTGCCCTCGGACCCCGGCCCCCACCCTGGCCGAGCCTGGGAGTCAGACGAGAGCTCTGGGCCTCAGACCCCCCACCCAGCCTCTCAGGGCCTCCGTCTCATAACCAGTGCGGTTGTGCTGATGCCTCCCTGGGTTGTAGGAAGGTTGCAGAAGACGGCATTCACCACCTTGCTAGCAGTAAACGTCACCCCTGTGTCTTCTCTCCGGCCCAAAGACCCCCACACAGCACGAAAGAAAGAACCTCAGTGCACTTTTCTCAAACCAGAAAGCCTGGGCAGTTTCACGGTTGATTATTTTTTCTGCATTCCTGGATCCTGGAAAAATAAGTTAGGTGCAAAGTTGCCTATACAGTTTAATTAAAAAGTACGTTTTGAAACGTGGTAAGTTTTTTTTTAAAAAAGGAAGGAAGGAAATTCTGCCAACTATAGATGCTTCTCTAACTTTCCCAAATTTTCTTTGATTAGCCATTACTTTTGCAATAAAAAAGTAAATGCTTTTTTGCTTGGCAGTCATTCGGCCAACGTTTACCGGGCACCTGCTGCAACGCTAGGCATCTGGGGCTTAAAAGAGCTGTCTCTTTGCTCTCGGGAGCTGAGGGCAGTGTGGCAGGAAGAGAGACAGTCATCACTGTCTCACAGGCTCTGTGGTCAGCCAGGGAGGAGGCCAGGGCAGGTTCCTTGGGGAAGGTAAGCATTGGGTGGAGTCATGGAAACGAGAAGGCAAAGCACTGGGAGGACAAGTTCTGAGTAGACCTGATGCGGCTGAGGAGAGAATCTCTGAGGTTGAAGGTATCTCAGTGGACACCCTCCAAACTGATGAGCAGTGAGGGAGCAGAGCCTGCCTGCCCTCCTCCCCGGGGTGGCCTGGAGACGCAGCTCCGATGGCTCCCCGTGGGCCTGGAACGCATTCAGGCGGGACGTCCGTGCCCTGCCCCCTACCCTCGTCACCCCCTTGTTTTACTGCCTCAGAGCTTTCGGGGTGCTCACCTGCCGCCGCGTGGCTGTTGTGAGGCTTCAGTGCGGGGTGCGACGGGGCCCTCGGAGCAGCTGAGCTGGAACCGGAGCCCCGGCCGCCCCACCTCCCCTGGCCACGCGGGGGCTGCCGTGCCCCCGTCAGGACCTCTCCTGCCAGCCAGAGGTCTGGCGTGTCCGCGCCCTGGCCCGGTGGACGGCCCCACGGTCAGCTCGTCTGCTGTCCGTCCAGCTCGGTGTGGAGACTTAGCCTCACGAAGCTGTTTTGTGAACCTGACGGCCCCCTGTTATCTTGTGATGGGGGGTCTTCCTGAGAAGGTGGCCAGTGTGGTCATTTGCATGGGGTCCTCCATCTGCTGGGTTAGGTCACTCAGGAGCAGGGCGTCGGGGGAACCCCCGGCACTGGCACCATCTGCTTGAGACCCTCTCCCGCTCCCGTCGTGGGTCCAGTCCTCACGTGGCCTCCGGATGAAAATTCACTGGGTAGGACAGGAGGACGGCCAGTCTGTAAGGGGTTGTTTCGACGCGCCTTGGAGCTCCATCCCCCTTTCCTTGCCCTAGAGCCTCGCCGCAGGGGCCGGGGCGTCTGCTCGGAGCCACGATTCTGCCGCTTTGTGGCCGAGGGGCCGGGACGGTCCTGTTGTCCCCTGAGCGTGGCAGTCTCCCGGGGTGGGCCCCTCTTGCAGGACAGCCAGCTGTGCCCCCTCACGGCTCCACCGCCCCCCGCCTGCTGTCGTTCCAGTACGCCTGGGTGGAGAAACACTTCGGCCCTGACTTTCTAGAGCAGATCGTGCTGACCAGAGACAAGACCGTGGTCTCCGCCGACCTCCTCATAGACGACCGCGTGGACATCACAGGCAAGTGGCCTGCAGCGGGGGAGGGGTGAGCGTGGCGGCCAGGCCTCACGGCCCCTGACTCCGCTCACTCACCAGGCATGTGTTAGGCGTCACATCCAGTCTTAAGCCGCGCGTGGAGCGAGACAAGATTCTTTTCCGCGTCCGGCCTTGGAAGGGGCCCCACTGGGAGTCAGGAAGAGTGGGTCCTGGCTCTGGGGTAACTCGCTGGGTGGCCTTGAGTGAGTCCCTTTACACCCTGAAGCCTTGCCCTCGTACAAAGTGAGGGCTGGACTCTGGCTTCCAAACGTTTATTTTTAGCAACAGAACCCCCCCCCTTTTTCTCCCCAGAAATAATTTGGACTGAACCTCATGTGTTAAAGCAGAAAAGCAAAGCCTGATCTCTCTAGTTGAAGGTGGTTTGGGAGCTGTATTGGTCCCTTTTGCTTATGGGTGACCCCCTCCCAAAAAATAAACAAACAAACCTTGGATTTGCTTAGAAAGGAGAGGGGAAACTTATTGGTTCATCAAACTGAAAATCTGGGGTAGGAGGTCTTCAGGCATGGCTGAATCTAGGAGCTCAAACAACCTCCGTCAGAATTTGGTTTCTTTATCTCCTGGTTCTGCTGTTCTCGCTGTGCCTGCATACTCTGGCAGACACTCCCCTCCTGGTAGCCATCACTAGTTTCAGGGTTAAATCCTATTCTTTTGGACACCTCAGTGGGAAAATTTGAAATATTCTTTCCCTGATGATTTCTGGAGCTGGCTTGGGAAACGTGCCCATCTCTACCCTGGTCAGTGTCCAGAAGGTGGAATCCACAGGTGTGCCCGCCACTGCCCTCCCAGACCGCGCAGTTTCCCTAGGACAGTCAGGGCACAGTGCAGGGGTGGGTGCCCAGGGACCCACTCAGCTTCTGTAGGGGAGGGCGGGCGTACCCTCTTCCGCAGGGGAGAGGCCGTACCCAAAGGGCAGGTCACCACTGGTGGCGTCAGTGTGGACCCAAGGGACTGAAGCCTGTGGTGCCTGTGGGGCCCACAGTCAACAGCTGGTGACAGAGCTGGTCTGGGCAGCGCAGGATGGCTGGGCACAGGGGCGGGGAGGGCCGGCGTCTTGAGGCTCAGCCTCCAGCAGAGGCCGAGGCCGTAGGGAGCGCGTGGTCACTGTTTGCCGAGCACCCGCCGTGGGCTCTGGGGCTGCGAGGGGGCCCGCGTCCAACCCCCATGAGACAGGGCTGGTGCGATCGCCTGGGGCCCCAACGTGGGACTGAGGTGCTGCTTTCCCCCCAGGGGCCGAGCCGAACCCCCGCTGGGAGCACGTGCTCTTCACGGCCTGTCACAACCGGCATATGCGGCTGCAGCCCCCCGGCCGCAGGTTGCACTCATGGGCAGACGACTGGAGGGCCGTCCTGGACAGCAAGCGGCCCCGCTGAGCTGGCTGAGCCCCGGCCCCGCACGTTGCCCGGCCTGGCCTTACATGCACCTCGGGGCAAGGCTGGCCCAGGGCCCTGGACAGGACACGGGCGGCCAGGCCGACCTCAGGCCTCCGGTCAGGGAGGAGCCCGGGGCGTTGTTCAGAGGGGACAGCCCTCCCCTCCCTCAGGGAAGCCCCCTCCCCGGCCAGCAGCCGCCTGGTCTGCGGGTGACGTAGGAGCAGGTGGGGACAACCGCCCCGCTCTGAACCATGGCCCCTGCTGCCCGGCGCCCAGGGGGTCTCCCCCGTGGACCTGCCCTGGATCCAGCAAACACGGTGCGAGTTCCGGGCCGTGCCAGGCTCTGTGCCAGGGGTCCTCCCTGTGCCCCGCCTCTGACCGGCTAGAGGGCTCTGCCCCCCTCCCGCTCCCCCCACCCTGGGGGCCAAAGGCTTAGATGTTCGCTGAAGGCGTGAACAATAAATGCTGTTCTCTAGTCCCCGCCCCAAGGTCCTCCGGCATCTGGCCCCCGGGCGCCCAGCTGTCCCCCTGCGCTGCTGAGAGCCTGGGTTGGGGGTGCAGCTTGGTGGGTCTGCCTCGCCACGGGGCCGCATGGGGCCGGGAGGGACAGGCCCTGACGGTGGCGCAGGTGGCAGCGCTGGCGGCTGCGGTGTCCCCGGGCGGGAAGTGGCCCCATAACCGGCCACGCACGGCCCGCGCTTTCTTGCCTGCTCCTGCCCGCGCTGCGCTCCCCACGGCTGCCCTCCTGGGACCCCCTGGTTGTCCCTTGGGCCCCAGGGGTGGGTCGGGCAGGAGGAAGGGTGAGGAGAGTGAGTGGCCGGTGGGTCCCGACTGGAGGGTATCGGGGCTGCATCACGTGGGCTGGAGGCCCCTGGCCCGAGCAGGGTAGTGTCCGGAGGGGTCCGGCCGCCCTGGCCTGTGGCCCAGGAAGGAAGCGAGACCCTGGGACTCCGGGGGCACAGGAGAGCAGGTCACACGCGCCACGGGGTGTGTCGCCTTCTCCCTGGGCTCTTTACTCTGCCTGCTCGTGCCCACTGGGCCCTCTGCACCCGCCCTCCGAAGGCCTCCCTGCTTAGAATGATCAAGTCCGGATGCCCCAGCTCTGGACCATCCGGGACCGCAGCCTCTGCCTGATGAGAACCGCGCCCTCCCCTCGACGTGGCCACCTTGTTCAAGGCTGTCTTGGGCTCTGTCGGTCTCTCGAGCGGGGGCTGGGGAGGGGCTGGGGAGGGAGGTGCTTCCTTCATGCAGAGATGTCCTGGGGAGGGCCATCCCTCCCCATCCCCGGGCAGTGTTGTTGGCACCGCTGGCGTAGCCTGTGCCCTGAGGTCGGCTCTGGGACCCCACGTCTGGTGGGCGGACCTCTCAGCCACAGGGAGACATCTCCGCGGGGTATGCTGAGACCCCCAGCCTGCGCTCCGGGCCTCTGGTGCAGTGCAGGGTGTGAGCAGGGGTGGGGTGAGGCCCAGCCAGAGCCCCTCCCTCACATCTGGGCTCTTCCAGCTGATGGCTGCCCTGGGTTTTAAAGGCCAGTTCAGCTCAGCTGGAATCACTCACCCCGAGGTAGCGGCCACTGCAGCTGCCTAATCAGTTCAGGGAGAAAAAAATCATTGCAGGAGCCACGGTGTCTGGCTACTTTCTCAGGGTGCCAGGGAGCAGGGGGGCCTCTCCCACCAGGTGACATTGATGGAGATCTGGGTGGAGGAAGGGAGAGCCCTCCTGGCCCTGGCGGGGCTGCGGGAGGCACTGCAGAGGCCCTGGGGCTGCCGGTGAGGGAGCTGGGCGGGAAGGAGATGGCCGGACAGGCCTGGAACCTGGAGCAGAAGGGGGAGTCGGAGGTGGTGGCTGTGATGGCTGGGCCATGGGCCGGTACTGCCCTCCTTGTGAGGCAGGACCGTGGGGCTCTGTGATTCTCTTTTTGTCAAGCAGGATACACCTGCCTCATTTAAATGGAGGTGAGTTTCTTCAAACTTGAGGAGCACATGTTTTGCTTCTGGATCCTTAATGACCTGCAGAAAAGGACGGCCCCCTCCCATGGGTGACGCGTCAGCTGGGTCCCTCGCCTCCTCCACTGGCCTCAAAATGCCTCAGCTCTGTCGAGAGCGGAGACTGACCCCTTTGAAAATATTGTAAATATTCTGGACTCGAGGCCCAGAGCCCCTGGGAGGAGCAGTGGCACCAGGTCTGGAGCACAGAGACTCAGGATGGTTTCTTCACTGTTCTGGGTCACAGTTTCCCCAGCTGGGACCCTTCCATCCCAGTGTCACAACCCCAGTAACGACAGTGTCCTCAGCATCCGCCATGTCCCGGGAGCTGACGAGCACTTTACGTGGCCTCGTAACCAACCACCTCCCGCGGCTGCTTCCACTTACCCGGGGGGCCAAGGGCGCGCCAGGTGGTGCAGCCGTGCTCTGGGCCTCCACACAACACTGTCCCCCGCTCCAGAGCCCCCTACGGCTCAGCTGTCCAGGACAAAGCAGAGTCTGGGCTCAGGGGCTGGGCCTCCATCTGGAGATGAGACTCAGGCCCTCGGCCTGTGGCAGAAACCGAAGACAAGTCCTGGAAGCCGGAGGGTGGCGGTGGGCAGCAGGCTGACACGGGCCTCAGTCGCCAGGCCGAGGCAGAGGTGTGGGGAGGGGGGTAGAGGGACAGTCCCGTCTCCCCCATTCGCCATCCAGGGGAAGCCATGAGTCCTGCGGCCCCAAGGGAAGGTAGGGCAGGAGCCCATGGGATGAGGATGCAGGAGCCGGCCGGGTGGGTCCCCTCTAGAGGGAAAGGGCAGGAGGGGCCTCAGCTGGAGTGAGCGAGGGCCAGGACCCTGGGGGTGCCCTGCACCCTCCAAAGTGTGAGAAAGAGGATGGACGTTCCAGCAGAGACTCCGGCCAGCTGAGGAGGATGGTCCCACACAGCAAGGCCGAGGTCGTGCCCTCAAGGTCCCCCCACTCTGGCACAGGAAGGAAAGGACTCAGGGTCCCTGGGTGCCTGTGGAGGTGGTGCTGAGAATGGATGAGGCCGTAGGCTGGGGGCTCATCAGGCGACCACCAAGGAGGGGCTGAGTGAACCTGGGGCTGAGTCTGGCTGGGTCGAGGGCACCTTCTGCCCCTGCTGCAGGCATTTGGATCAAACACAGGCTTTACTTTCCCAGCTTCAGTTTTCAAAAAATTAAAACGAGCGCACCTGGGCTTCCCTGGTGGCCCAGTGGTTGAGAGTCCGCCTGCTGATGCGGGGGGCGCGGGTTCGTGCCCCGGTCTGGGAGGATCCCACGTGCCGTGGAGCGGCTGGGCCCGTGAGCCATGGCCGCTGGGCCTGTGCGTCCGGAGCCCGTGCTCCACAGAGAGGCCACAACAGTGAGAGGCCCACGTACCGCAAAAAAAAAAAAAAAAAAAAAAAAAAAACAAACTTTAATTAAGAAAGCCAGATGACAGAGCAGAGAAATGTAATCAAAAAAAAAAAAAAAAAAAAAAAAAAAAGAGCGCATCTTACCTGACCTCGTGGTCACGTGGGAGGATGGATGACCAGGCCCCAGCAGACCCAGCGCCTGGTCCAGATGTTCCCTAGGCATGAATGAACACGGAGACCCTCTGGAGAGGGGTCATCGGCCCCCCCGGGAGCGGGGGCATGCTCCTGGGACGAACCTGAATTAGAGGCCAAAGAAGCCATTTTAGGTGGAAAGAGACTGAATTCATTTTAGTTGTTGATTAGAAGTGATCAGTTATAGTGAATAATGAACATGTACCTGCAGGTCTGAGTTTTAGTGTATTTACATTTGGTCCTGCCCACACCCAGCCCAGGAGGCCAGGGCTCAGAGAGGGTCACAGGTGAGCCCGGGCCACCCGGCACAGAGGGCTGGGGCTGAGCTCAGCCCCCAGAGCCCGGAGGGGAGAGGTAGCAGGAGGGGCTAGGAACTGGGAGCCTGGAGGCTGGGGCCTGGTTTATCCCCGACTTGCTGTGACCTGGGCAAAGCCAAGTCTCTGAGCCATTTCCAAGGTTGGTCAGCTTCCGCGAGAAAGGGTTGCAGGAAATAGAGACGTTTATTCCACAGCGCGGCTGCTTGGGGGAGGAAGTGGATTTGCTCTGTGAAACAAGGTGGGGCCTGGTGGCCGGAGCCCCAGTGGCCAGAGCCGGGGGCTCTGGAAGCTCTGATGGGGACCAGGGACGCCAGTCCCGGCTCGAGCACCAGGCGGCAGCACAGCCCATTGAAATGGATGCATGGGTGCGAGCGCGCGCGCGTGTGTGTGTGTGTGTGTGTGTGTGTGTGTGTGTGGAGATGGGGGTGCTGGCGATTACCGGGGGCACAGGCAACTGTGGGGAAGGAAGCGGAAGGAAGCGCAGGTCCCCTAAACTCCCTCCCAGCCCCCTGGACCAGCCCCTCCTGCCCTTTCTCCCAGGCCACTGTGGACAAGGTCGGACCCTGCATGTCAGCAGGCTGAGGACCGTGTCCAGACTGCCTGGCCAGCAGAGCACCCGCCACTCTCACGACCTCCAAGTGGCTGAGACGTCGTCCTGCTTCCGGGTCAGGAGCGTGCACGGGTCCAGGCGGCCTCGGCCTGTGCCTGACCACCCCCCAAGACGCTTACCACCCCTCCCAGTTCCTGGGGCGCATCTCTCCTGTGTCTTGCTTGCATTTTCATTCGGAAGGTTTTCTGCACCCAGCCGACCCCCAGCCTCCTTGTGGGGAGTCAGGCCACCATCTCCCCAGCCCTGTGCGGTCCGAGGGAACGAGGGCAGGTCTGTGCCACGGCTGCCCTGTCCAGGGGCCTGGAGAGGGGAAGGCCTGCAGGCTCACAAAGCTGCTTCCCTCGAAGACTAGGCCACAGCTGCGACAAATGACAGAAATAGGAGCCAGTCACCTGCCCAGCCAACACCTCGGCCCTGTTGGCAATTTGGATGAAACTTTAAAAGAAAAATTATTGATTCGATTCTGCAAAGCTGGCTTGGACCCACAGGCTGAGGCCTAAGGAGGCCAGAAATGATGGGGGAATTCTTCACGTAGAAGCAGG